TTTGAAGCAGCGGCCACTGCTGTAATTTTTCCTAGCACAGCTTGGTTTTTCTGTTGTAGAATTTCACGAAAAGGGAAACATAGAGCATGTAATCCCTTATCAAAGAGTCCCTTGGACCAGCCAGTCCTGGCTTTCTATTGTTTGGTGTTCACACAATGAACATGTTGGGTGTTTTTAGTAGCAGCTTCTTTTGGTCATGTTCAGCTATTTCTCAAGCACTTTGAAGACTGTGGCCGGCTGCAGCTCTCCACCCCCACTAAAGGCACTTGCATAGATTTCTGTGCGTTCTGAGTGTTTTCTTGGCATTCGGTGACTTGATGGGTGGATGAACACGAGTTATTTAATCAATCAATAAGCATTTAGACACAACTTTCCCTAATGCAGACGGTGCCTTAATGTTCAACTTACCAAATGGCCTGACAGACACATGGTTTCCGAAGCCGGGCCTGCAGTGTCTTCAGAGCCCCGGGGATCCGCCCCTTTGCGACTCCTGCAGCATCTGCTCCCTTCTTGCGGCAAGAATTGCTGGCGAGGCTGCCCTGGCTGGGCTCCAGCATGGCTGTGAGGGCACCAGCTTCAGGCTCTGTCTCTGGCAGGTAGAAATGCTTATCCTCTATCTTTGAAAGTATTACGCCTCACAACCCTCCATCTGATTTATTTAAACCACAGCAGAGGTCAGCAAAGAAAGCCAGGTGCGGCACTGATAGCTTTGTAACGGCTTACGACCTAGCTTGCAGAAGCAGCATCTATTTCTTTGCAGTCAGGGAAGTGCAACCGGAAAAAAAAAAATAACAGGGTTAGTGCTGTCAGTTCTGACCTGTATCAGTGACCTGCCTGAAACACTGTCTGCAGCAGAGCCTCTGACTCTCACTGGTGACTGATGGAGGGGAAGGCACTGTGGAGCGGGCCTCTGGGGAGAAAAGGCATTACCTTAGCTACTTCCATGGAACAAGCCTTTAGGGGTCTGGCCCCTTCACCATCATTTCTGCCCAGACAGCACTAAGTTCCTGTCAGTTCTAGCGGTGAACGTGCCCTGCGTGGAAATGAGCTTCTCATCTTTAATGCATCCACGTGTCATCCACCGCTCTGCCGCAGCCTAAAATCCATAGAGCCGAGCAGTGCATTTGTGATCTATCACTTTCATATCTCTTTTGAAAAAGTTAAAAATACTTTGCCAGCAGAATCCGCTTTCATCCTGGGCTGCTGAGCGCCAGCAGATCTTTTGTTTGCTGTAGTGACTTTAAAGGTGGCCTGTTTACAAAGGCAGAGAATGAAGAGGAATGCAATCAGATGAGAGTGGAAACTAGGGTGTGGCCACTGCAGAATATAGCCTAACTGCAGTGCGGCTTAACAACCTCTGAAACGGTTATGCTACAAACGGGTGCAGGCTCTGTCTGAAAAGCGACATCGAGAAACAGGATAAAGTTGCATTATCACAGTACTGTTATGTGCCATTTTTTTACTAAGGAATATCCATTTGATTTTATTTTTATATTTTGGGATGTCTAGGGAAACTTAGAACAATCATGCAGGTCCTTGCCTCTGCTAGCTGTCCAAAGAGAATATTCTCAGGTTGTGTCTTACAGTATAAATCAGTTCATGTTGCTGTTTCCCAAACAGGAAGGGTTTACTCTCTCTCTGTGTGTGTGTGTGTGTATGTGTGTGTGTGTTAGATTTTGCAGCCTGCAGCATGTGATTATCTAATTTCACAAAGATCGGGAAGGTGTGAACTCGGATGAAGAGAGCAGTGCTCAATTCAGAGGGAGACGCTGCTTGGGTTTGAGGTAGCTGTGTGTGTGTGTGTGACCTCAAGTAATGGAACATCTTTGGCCTCAGCTGCTCGCTCTGAATAACCTTCTAATGGAGGTTTTGTCCTTATTAAATAATAGATAATAAGTGCCTGTTCCTTGGTGGGTTTCCCTTCTGTGTTTATTTTCTTCATCCCTCCTTGGATTGAGGTGTGGACACCGGTACTGATGCCAATGATGTAGCTACTGTATGGAGAGGGGAGTGGAGACCCACTAGCTGTTGTGTTGTGGGACTGTGACTGTATTGCTGTTGGAGGCGGCAGGGAGAGAGAATTTGGCTTTCAGGACCATGGACAGAAGCCTTTAGTCCTTCTTGGCCTGTAAGAATTTCACCCTAATGCCTTACTTTAAAAAAATGAACGTCAATACAGAAACCGCTATGCCAAAGGATTTCAGAATAAGTGACAGAAAAACTGTAGTCACCAGGTGGCTACTTGAAGCTTACAGATTCTGTTGTTACTGGAAAGAAGTGGACCACATTTTAGTGGTCCTAAAACAGTTACACATTGTAATTGTGTGACTGTAATGCAAATATATTTTGATTTGAACTAATTGACCCAGGAACAGTTATTTGAAGGAAGATAGAGGTGCCTGGAGATAACTAAAATAGTATAAAGTCTGTTAATGATTTTCACCAGCTCATATTTATTTCTATTTTTCATTTTATGTATCTGCTACATACATTAAACTAGATACTGCAAACTCTCAGTTAATTCCATGTTTGCCCTATGCTTATAGGAAAATAGATAGGTAAAGATGATAAGACCCATAGGCTTTATTGAGAAAGAGAGAAGACAGAAAGGCACACAGAGAGATTGGTGACAGAGACATAGACACACACACACACAGACAGAGAGGGAGAAGGAGATCAAATGACCTACTGAAAAAGTCACCAAAGCAGAAATACATTTGAGCAGGGGAAATGAAAGTCAAGCTCTTTGTTTTAAAAGTGTCTTACACTGCCTTGGCTCAGACACACCAAGCAAATGTCATTTGGACTCTCAGAGCAAATGCTGACAAGAGGACTGAGAAGGGAGGATGACTGGGCAGAAAGAATATTTAAAAAGAGGCAGGCATGCAGCAGAGGAGAGCACAAAGCAGAGTAATGAAAGGAGTGGCAAAGTGGATTCAGGATCCCGCTGAACCCCAAAGCAAGGCTGAGGTGAAGAAGTTATAACTAGTGGCTATTACCAGATGCTATAGAGAGAGAGTAGAGACCCCATTCATGAATACTGGCACTGCCTCCAACCTGCGCTTGTTCTTGATCAGGATTAATAAGGGAAAAGGGTCCAGTAGGCTCAATCAGACTTGCAGATGCCAGCCTTGCCACCAAGCCCAGGTGCCTTCCTCCTTCTCCCCACTGCCTGCTGGACCACAGAAGGTGCCCCATAGTTTATTTTCTCTGCAGCATCTCACCGCTCCTGCAGAACCAGCTGCGCCACTCCCTTATGGACAGGCTGCTCTGCAAAGGTGTGAGCAAGGAGCCCTGCCTCCCCCTCCAAAGAAATGAAACACACACACACACACACACACACACACACACACACACTTACACTAATGCACTTAAGAATGGAAATAAACAATGCCCAACAGTAGTGTCTGCAGACCCTCTACAAAAGATTATGAAATAATACAAATTACATGGAGTTATCTTGGGGGGAGGCTCTGCAACTCTTCTTCTATATGCGAGTAATGGGAAGCATGAGGAGCTATGGCTTATCCAAGACCTCTCTCTCTGCCCCCCCCCCCGCATGTATGTGCTTTTGTTCACTGATGAGTGAGAAAAAGGGATGTGCAGGCTACAGAAGGCCATTTGAATAAGCATCCGACCTTGCATGCTGGCCACGCAAGTCTCAGGCTGCTTAGAATTTGTGAGCATGGGTGGGCTTCTAAGATCGTTTAGACCTAACAAATTTAAGCCACCAGAAACCCCGCAAAAGTCCTCTGCTTCATTCCATTCCTCCTTTGGGAAGGGTGAGTTATCAGAATCACAGCATGTGTAAGATGAGAAAGGAACACGCAGAACAAATCTCACCTCGCCCTCTCTTCGGTCTCCAGAAGCGAAGGGTTACAGCTCCCAAAACTTCACCACTTTTCTATTTGAAAACCGTTACCCGTATCTCCTTACTGTGCCGTTTAAAGGGACCTGTAAGCCGGCGACAGATACATTGAACAAATTAAACAGAGCGCCAAATGCTTGCTTAAAGGTTTTAGTTATTGCTTACAAATTTCTGCAGTATCTCTTGGAAACTGCAGAAACTCACAACCCGAGTATGAACATGCTACACCCACGTGTGTCTGATGTGCCCACTCTGGTATCTGGGTGCTTCCTGAAGGAAGATCACGGATTCCTAAATACACCCGTTCCCTATGAATTTCAGTAGGCTATTTTCAGTCGGTCTCCATGCTGAGCTCTCTTCCTGGAGACCACACCCAGAGCTGGTCGCTGTTTGCAGCAGCAGTCTCTCTCTCTCTCAATCTCTCTCTCTCTCTCTCTCTCTCTCTCTCTCTCTGTGTGTGTGTGTGTGTGTGTGTCTCATCTCTCCTCTCCTCTCCTGCATGGTGTGTGGAAACCATCAGGTTGGGGTACCACACAGGTGTTAAACAGAAGGGAAGAGGCTTTTGGGTGCGGTAGGAGAGGGCATAGCTCGGGGAGGACGCAGGCGTCTTGAAGTTCTCCCTCTGCGGAGTGCGACTTTGCCGGAAGACTTGGTCTTTCCTGGTTAGTTTCAACCCCTCCTAAGCATTCCAGCCCTCGTGCCCCACAAAAATTCAAGGACTGCTATGGAAGAAGGTACCAAATGAGCTGCGGCAAAGGTTCTAAAATTCTAAAGCGAACACTCACTACCCTGTGGTTCCTACGGTGTGCAGTGGGCACCGTCTCTTATGCATTGAGAAACAGAGAAATAAGGAAAAAAAAAATAAAAATAAAAGAAGGCAGCAGAAAGGGGGGGAGGAGGAGGATTTTTAAAAATGTCAGGAAATAGCTACAAAGACGTGCAAAACTTTTCCTGCAGGCACGGACGCAACCTTGTATAAACGCCCCGGTTTCACAACCATGTCACTTAAACCCGAAGCAGGATGCTTGAGAGGGTCCCGAAGGGAGAAAGGACCAGCTTGGGGGGTTGGGTGGGGTGAGGTGAAGGTGTCTCTGTGACACTGGATGTTAAAAACTGATGTGTCAGTAGGGCGCGAGAACCTTTTATTTGGAACATTTAAGGATCCGAGCGACGTGGGCTTTAGGAAGGGGCGGAAGGGGCTGGGGGAGTAGGAAAGGAAAAGGAATGTGCCGGGAGGTCGTGGGGAGGGGTCTCAGAGAAAGTGGGGGTTCCTCGGAGGAGGGCGGCCGGGTCGGAGCCGCAGCTCGCCAGCCTCCTGTAGCAGCTCGCCCCCGCCTTCGCTTTTGCGCAGAGCCCTCCCCTTGGCTGCAGCGGCGCTCTGCCCCCACTGGCCTGCGCGCCAGCGCGATCCATCGCAGTCTGCGTCAGAGCCCCGGCGTATAAATAGGGGTGGCAGGACGGCGCCGAGCCGCACACAGCCATCCATCCTCCCTCCCTCCTCCCTCCCTCCGCTTCCCGGTTCTTCTCTCTAGGTCCTTCATCTCCGCCCCGGGGCCCGGAGGGGCGCACCCGGCCGCCACCATGAGTTCGTTCAGCTACGAGCCGTACTTTTCCACCTCCTACAAGCGGCGCTACGTGGAGACGCCCCGGGTGCACATCTCCAGCGTCCGCAGCGGCTACAGCACGGCGCGCTCCGCGTACTCCAGCTACTCGGCTCCCGTCTCCTCCTCGCTGTCCGTGCGCCGCAGCTACTCGTCCAGCTCCGGCTCCCTGATGCCCAGCCTGGAGAACCTCGACCTGAGCCAGGTAGCCGCCATCAGCAACGACCTCAAGTCCATCCGCACCCAGGAGAAGGCCCAGCTGCAGGACCTCAACGACCGCTTCGCCAGCTTCATCGAGCGCGTGCACGAGCTGGAGCAGCAGAACAAGGTCCTGGAGGCCGAGCTGCTGGTGCTGCGCCAGAAGCACTCGGAGCCTTCCCGCTTCCGCGCCCTGTACGAGCAGGAGATCCGCGACCTGCGGCTGGCGGCCGAAGACGCCACCAACGAGAAGCAGGCCCTGCAGGGCGAGCGCGAGGGCCTGGAGGAGACCCTGCGCAACCTGCAGGCCCGCTACGAGGAGGAGGTGCTGAGCCGCGAGGACGCCGAGGGCCGCCTGATGGAGGCGCGCAAAGGCGCCGACGAGGCCGCGCTCGCCCGCGCCGAGCTGGAGAAGCGCATCGACAGCCTGATGGACGAGATCGCCTTCCTGAAAAAGGTGCACGAGGAGGAAATCGCCGAGCTCCAGGCTCAGATCCAGTACGCCCAGATCTCGGTGGAGATGGACGTGTCCTCCAAGCCCGACCTCTCTGCCGCCCTCAAGGACATCCGCGCTCAGTACGAGAAGCTGGCCGCCAAAAACATGCAGAACGCCGAGGAGTGGTTCAAGAGCCGCTTCACCGTGCTCACCGAGAGCGCCGCCAAGAACACCGACGCTGTGCGCGCCGCCAAGGACGAGGTGTCCGAGAGCCGCCGCCTGCTCAAGGCTAAGACGCTGGAGATCGAGGCTTGCCGGGGGATGAACGAAGCTCTGGAGAAGCAGCTGCAGGAGCTGGAGGACAAGCAGAACGCGGACATCAGTGCTATGCAGGTAGGGCACGGTGTCAGCCCAGTGGGGCCGGGGGTGGGGTGCGGGGTGGGGGGGGAAGGGTGCACAGTCGGGGTGGAGGGCGTAGCCAGGAAGTGAACGCTAGGGGGTCCTCGAGCGCCGAGCTGCTGGCAGAGGGCTTGGCTTCTGGGAGGGTGTGGAGAGCATGGGGCACTTGGAGGGGGCGGGGCGCGACTGCCCGCTGGAGAATCGCTTGCTGTGGTCGGAGCTGGGTTCTTGGGGGTGGCTTGGGAGGAAGGGGCGGAGTCGGGCGTTGCCACCAAGCTGAGGCTTTCTCTCTACCCACACCCTGAACTCCAAGTTACCCTCAGCACCTCCTGGATCTCCTGGTTAAGAAACAGGGCTGCTAGCTTTCGCCAGTTCCGAACCGCCCAGCCCTGGGATAGTTTTGTTTTTAATAGGGACACAAGAGTACATTCACAATATTTTAGGTCAATTCATCACCGCAATCCATTTTTTTCTTGTTGTTGTTTTAAAGTTCTTCATCTTTGGGGGAGAAAAAAAAATAGAGAGTTGTGGAAAGCATTTTAGACAAAGAAACAAGTGTGTGTGTGTGTGTGTGTGTGTGTGTGTGTGTATACCCCTTCCCAAATGTGACCTGGCTAAAAGAAGTGTGTCAGTGACAGACTGGACATTTTAGGCCCAAACCCCACGCATTTGTTTTAAGGGGAATTTATTGAAGGTGTGCTCTTTTGGAGTTAACCCTGGCCAGGCCCTTAGCACGAATACTACAGTAACACAAACACAGTAGAGAGTTGTGCTTTTAATTTTTCAAAAAATAATTCTTCCAACAGGATACAATCAACAAACTAGAGAATGAACTGAGAAGCACAAAGAGTGAGATGGCCAGGTACCTGAAGGAGTACCAGGACCTGCTCAATGTGAAGATGGCCTTGGACATTGAGATTGCAGCTTACAGGTAAAATCAGAATGGTGTCGGCGGTGGGCGTGGCACCTCAGGGGAGACCAGATTATCCACAGCCACTGAAGTTTTATGTTGAATCACAAGCCTTGTAGAATAGTCCTACTTCTTGGTGTTCCTCCAAGAAGGCACGGATGTGTAAGGAGTTAACCCTGAAGTAATGGAAGCCCCCTTCTTAGCATTAACATTTTAAATCTAATAAGGGAATGTAGAAGATGCTTTTTGGGTGGGGCCGCTAGTGAACGCCCTATTAAATCTTAATTATGCCCGTCTCCGTTTTTCCTTGTGTTTGCTTTTGAGTTTTGGCAGTTGGGGAAATTGATGGATGGTGGGCTCTTGAACACACATCCGGAGCTGGTCTAACTGTATCCTTATTCCCTCCCCACCAGGAAACTCTTGGAAGGCGAAGAGACCAGGCTCAGTTTCACCAGCGTGGGCAGCATAACCAGCGGCTACTCTCAGAGCTCACAGGTCTTTGGCCGCTCTGCTTACAGTGGCTTGCAGAGCAGCTCCTACTTGATGTCTGCTCGCTCATTCCCTGCCTATTATACCAGCCACGTCCAGGAAGAGCAGACAGAGGTGGAGGAGACCATCGAGGCCACCAAAGCTGAGGAGGCCAAGGATGAGCCCCCCTCTGAAGGAGAAGCAGAAGAGGAGGAGAAGGAGAAAGAGGAGGGGGAGGAAGAGGAAGGTGCTGAGGAGGAAGAAGGTATGCAAAACACAAAAAGCCTCCAGAGTCCCTTTTGCAAACTGGTTGTGGGTGTTTATTGCCTGAGCTATGCTGGCCTTGCTTACCTAGATAGATCAGGTCTTGGAGAGGAGATGAGCTCCCAGCACCTGGAAGTAACCTCCTTTTATTTAAATATGTGTTTCCTGCCAAACTGTTGGCCACAAGCACAGTCTGTAACATGTCCTTCAGGAGGCCCCACCCTCCTGAAGGACATTCTGATAACAATGTTTAATGAATTAACAAAGCCTCAGCAGAAATGTTCTGCCTAGACTTAACCTGGATTTTGTATTTTCTTCTTATGTTTAAGCTGCCAAGGATGAGTCCGAAGACACAAAAGAAGAAGAAGAAGGTGGTGAGGGAGAAGAGGAAGACACCAAAGAGTCTGAAGAGGAAGAGAAGAAGGATGAAATTGCTGGGGAGGAACAAGCAGCTAAGAAGAAAGATTGAGCCCCTGTTCCCAACTATTCCAGGAAAAAAAAAAGTCTCCCCAAATCAGGTCAACCTCATCACCAACCAACCAGTTGAGTTCCAGATCCTATACAAATTAAGAAGTCAATATATGTATAATTCTGAGATGACTTAGGTTGGACATTCAATGTTGTGCTATGAATTTGCTCCTTATGCAGAGTATCTGTTTGCTTGCAGAGTGGCTTTCTGGCTTGCTGCCAGCCTGTGCATGGTCCGTGCTTATGAGTTCAGGATCTATGGCAATGTGAATCACACAGATGTTTACAATAATAATTAAAAAAAAACACACACGCAACATGAATAAGTGAATTCACTCATGTTCATGTGAAACGTCATGGAAAAAATAGTCATTTGAAACTTCAGTGGTTAGAAATTACAGACCTCGAATTATGTGCAATAAATAGTAAATAAAGTTACACTGAATGACATATTTTGCTGTGTTTTTTTTTTCACTTAATTAAAATTCTTTAAAGAAGGCACCAACACAGACCAAATACAAGTAGCTTACTGACCTTCAATTTTTTATAAGGTAAAATTTTTAGTAAATGCAGTACATAATTAGACATTCTGAGGGATAGAGAAATAGGTCAAGACTAGAAACTATTCCCCCAAACTTTACTGTCAATAAATATGGATGAGAGCATTCATAAATAACAGTGTAATTCACCAAGTAAGACACACACTGTTAGCTGGAGAGATGGCTTTCTAAAAGGCGATTTTGAAATGGTGGACTGTTACACAGCAGCGTGACCTGGATAGACTATGAATCCCACACAGTTGCCATGATAGCTACATCTTAAATATATTCTTGAATATCAAGGGCATAAATTAAAACTTGAGCCCATGATATAGTTAAGAGGAATGATGTGGGGGAAAGTAAGATTATCGGAGGTTGTTTGTCACTGTAAGCATGTTGCCTGGAATCCTGAGCTCATGAATGGTGTGTTGTTTGCTTAATTCTACTGCCTCACGTAAATTGCCTTTAATGCTATACATTTTTAAATCCTTTAAAGACCACACAAGCGGGTAATAGGATTATATTACTGTTACTTCTCGGGGGAACATAACAAATTTGTATGTTGCCTTGGCATTGCTCTGCATGTCTTAATTGGTAAATATTTGGATTTCAATGCCTGGTTGGACACTACATCACATCTATACCCCGTCTGCCCATGTCCATGGTAACGCCATGATAACTCTTGCGCTTGTGTTTGGTGTGGGATATAGATAAGTCTTTGCCTAGCCATTGCTCTGGAGTTCTTAAACAACTGTTTCGGTGTGTTGATGTCTGCACTGTCTGTTTTTTAGATGACCTTTGAGACTTAGGAATTTTACCTAAAACCAAAGTGGTCTCTTAGCATTGCTTACTTCTAATATGTGTTACTACACAAGTAGGCCAAGCATTTATGTATCGTGGTGTGAATTTGAAGGCTCTTGGCATTCCATCGTAGATGGGAAACCCTCTAGACAGCAAGCTTTTCGCACGTGTGCTCCTGAGTCTGAGTCGATGCAAACTGGTTGCTTTAAGAAATACTCTATTGAAGAACACAGTTCCATACACATTCCTGTGTGCCATAATAAAATATTGAAAAAAAATATATAAATACAATGACTTTGAAGTCTTTTTTTTTTTTTTTAAACTCCTCTAAATTGAGTCACTGGCTACTCTTTCTTTAACTGGCTTTGCGCGAGCACAGACTCTGGCTTTTCACTCTGCATTTTCTTTCTCAGCATCCCCTAGTAGTGCCCGGCCCCTTCTCACAGGGTCTTGGAACTCTGACTAGGGCAGTGAGGGAGTACAGAAAGGACCGTGACACTGAAGACATGACAGACTCATAGATACAGGAAAGCTGGGGTCAGGTCGGCCGTGTGTTCTGACAGAACCACACCTGTTATCTCCATGACCTAGAACTTCAGCCAGTTTGTTGGGTACAGTACAGGGAAGGAGGTAAGAATCCGGATAGGGGGCCTCTATAGCTGAGCCTCCTATCCAGTAAGTGGCAAACATATGGGCTACGGGTGGGGAAAGGGGAAGAAGACACAGTCGCTAGATTTTGTACACAGATTTACATCTGTAAATGCAAAAATTATTTTGGGCCAGAGAAGGAGGGCTCACCAATTCTGAGCCTGATCTATCTGGGGAAAGGCCTTACCAATTTCTCATGGCTTTGATCCTTGTCATGGCTGTGCCCATGTCAGCAATACTCACCCACATGGGGCTGCCTCTGCTCCCTACATAGTAGCTAAACTTCGGGAAAGCCAAGTTCAATCAGTGCATTCTTTTACCCCTCTCCCCGGCCCTGACTAAACTCTCCTGTAGTTTTCTATTTCTTTGCATATAGAACTCAGAATCTTGAAAACTACACCCTTCATAATAGCCACAAGTACTATAAAATATCTTTGTGTAAAACTCAGAATCTCTAACGTCATCCACACAGCCCTCTGATGCCTAACACTTTCCTCTGAGATGGAAGCATTGTATCTTTCAAGGAAGCTCTTTAAGCACACAGGATAACTCAAAATAGCTTCCGGAAATCCCTGAAACGGATCAGATTCACTAGCCCCCTCCCTACCAGAGTAAGCAATTAAAAGCTGACAGTAGGGTCAGATGGAAGAGAGCTGGGTTGCAAAGAAGACTAGGCAGACTCAAGGCTACAAGAAAGACTCCCAGACTGCAAAGACTCTTGAGTCCAACCAACTCCCAGTGAGAAGCAGAAACCAGCTGAGCTGCCTGGAAGATGTTTTTAGATCAGTTAAGGCACCCAGCAAGGACACCCTCCAACTTGTTGAGGTATTTGTAGGCTGTGCAGTGTGCTCCAGGTTCCAAGCTTTGTGAGCCATCACCCACGCTGGGGTGGCTTTAGTGACGCAGCTGTCTTTGAGTCATTTCTGCTTCTGTAAGTAATCCCTCACCCATATTCTTGTAAGTAACCCCAATAAATATTGTTGATTCACCAAGTTGGACTTCGGTTGTATCCATACTTTGATCTGTCATAGGATCCGTATCTGGACTGAATAGACATGTACGTTGTGTCTCTTCAGGAAATGCTTTGCCACACAACACCTGAAGAGATCTCATCCCTACCTAATTCTCTGCCCCCATCCTGTATGTATTTCACTGTCCCTCACTTTGGGTGCTCCAACCACCCTGATCTTTTGATACCGCTCTCATCCCTGCCTGGTAGCTCATGGGCATGATTCAGTTATAGGCTTAAATGTTCTTGTCTGTAGGAGGCCTTCCTGACCTCTTCAGTGGGTCAAATGCCTCTGTCAAATGAGCTTGTAAAACTTTGCAGACGCCTTACACTTGACTTCGTTATCTGCTTTGTGATCATTGGATAATTTTCTGCCCACCTCCCCACCACATCATAATCTTCAGCAGATGAGAATCTGATCTTTGCTGCTCTCTTAAAAAGTATTAACTTTATTTTACACACATGAGTGTTTTGCCTGCATGTACATGTACGTGTGGGCCCTTTGCATACCTACCTAGTCCGCATAGAGGCCACATGAGAGCCTCTGATCCTCTAGAACTGCAGTTACAGATGGTTGCGAACATCCATGTGGGTTCTGGTTCTCCACAAGAGCAGCAAATGCTTTTATCTTCAGGGTCATCTCTCCAGCACTGCTTATTAGTTTTTAAATTTTTAATTAATATTAGTTCTAAAATTTTTAATTAGTGTACATTCGCTACAAGAATTCTCATTACTATATTTTGGTAGATGCTCATGATTTACTTTTCCCACACCCTCCTATTATTTGTCCTTCTCCTGCCTCCTTAGCACTCTCTAGTCCTTGCCTTCCCCACCAAGGCAAGGTGAACTACTACTTGTGTGAACAAAATTATGTATACATATATTCCATATATAAGAGAAAATATGCTATGTTTTTCTCAGTTTGGCTCATTTTGCTTTACATGATTGCATTAGTAAGAGTTCTCTAGAGTAACAGAACTTGTAGAATCAATCTCTTTCTGTATAGAAAGGGGATTTATTACAATGACTTACAGGCTGTGGTCTAACAGTGGTTGCCTGTCCATGGGAGCTCCAAAAATCCAGTAGTAGTTGTTCACTCCACAAAGCTGGATGTCTCAGCTGATCTTCAGTATATGCCAGAATCCCAAGAAGTAGGCTCTACCAGTGAAGGAATGGACTTTCTAGAGAGAAGAGAGCAAGCAGGCAAAGGGCAAGGCTTCTTTCTTCTATGTCCTTTATATGGGCTGCCCACAAGAGGTGTGGTCCAGATTAGAGGTTGTTTTCCCCACCTCAAATGTCTGGATTAGAAGTGGTTCTTCCAACTTCAAATAATTTAACTAAGCACAAATTCATCACAGGTGTGGCCAGTCTATTAATTCCAGATGCAGGCAAGTTGATCAACAAGAATTACCATCATAAAAGCCTCCACTTTCATTTTCCTGAAAAAAAAAATAATGTACTTTTGTTTTTCATGGCTGCATGAAACCACATTGTGTATATTCTCTTTTTCCTTTATTCATTTTCCATTACTTGGTTCTTGTGAACAGTACTATGATATAAACAATGCAGGTGGTATGCTAATATGTATTCTTATACCAAGAGTGGTATAAGTGGATCATAAGTGGATCATAAGTGGTATTTCTAATCTTGTTTTGTTGAGGGAGAGGGAGAAGAAGAAGATTAACCGAGATACTTAGAATCCAGGTAAGGAAATGACAGTAGAAATGATATGGCATGTTTCCATGACTAACATTTTGAAGTTATTTCTTAAAAATAGACTTTTTCCCTCCTCACAGAATATATCTTGATTATTGCTCTTCCATCTACTCCTTCCACTTTCCCTGTACCTTCCTTCCCACCCGTATCCACACTCTTCTGTCTCTCATTAGAAAACAAACAGGCTTTCACGGGATAATAATAAAATAAAAACTAACACATCAGAGGACAAAACAAACAAAGGAAAAGAGCCCAAGAGAAAACATGAGAAACAAGAGAAAGCACAAGAAACAGATATAGATGCAAATAGCTGCTTGTTTGAACAGTCAGGGATCCTATAAAAACACTAAACTGGACTTCATAATATGTACACAAAGGATTTGCAGGGTATAAGGAGAGAGAAAAATATAAGTAGGATAAAACTAAAGCATAAAAATATAAGATAATAAAAGACTTGTCATGACATTAGGAGACAAGGAAGCTCCCAAATATATCATTGAGTTCATTTTCTGAGTTCACCTCCTGCTGGGCATGCAGCCTGCCCTTAAGAGTAGTTTGTTTTCCTAGTGAGTGAGTCCCTTGGAGAAGACTGAATTTTCACTTGCAAATGGTTGTCAATTAGAGATAGCTTCTGGGTTGGGGATGGGGGCAAGTGTCCACTTTTTCTTTAGCTCTAGGACCCCATCTGGTGCTGAGCTCTGCAGGAGCTGTTCATGCTGCCTCATTCTCCATGGG